TTCCAAATCCACCAATTTGTATTGAGTTTAACCTAACAAACATAATTAACACAAAATTAAGCTATAACTCGTACTCATCCAAATCACTAACAAATACTATAATTTAATGGCCTAAATAAGTGTACAAAATACACTTATCATTAACCTTCGTTGTTTGCTTCACATCTTGGCTTTGTTAAAGGAGACTTAACTGCTACATCCTTGGTTGGGGCTGTGGATTTTTATTTTGGCAGTCTCTTTCCTTCCTTTCTTGGGTTTTTGGCTCTTTTGGTTGGTATGCACAGATTGAAAAGTAAGGTAATGAAGGGTGAAAAAGAGAAATCTGGGCACTAATATGGGAATGTTAGTTTTTCTTTAAAACCATCTTAGCCTAGGCAAGGCTTTCAGGCCCCAACCCAACTTAGTTGGGGGCTATGGAATTGACTTCTACCATGTCTATTGATTGAAAGTATCCTTACAAATAGGAGGGGGACATGCCACTACAAAATAGAGTAGTACTTGCAGAAATATAAATATGGAGGCACTACTTGCATTACATACTTTAGTAACCTTACACTAATTGTCCTACATCATAGAATGCACTGTCCTAAATGATAACGAATGATGCCCAATTTTACCCATTTCGGTGGTGGTTTAATCCATCTAATGATAATAGCTTCCTATGGGGTGTCTGCTAACTGAAATGTCAAGACCTTTAGCAAGGTCCAAATCTCCTCTTTTTATATGAGCTTTAGTTCTTATTCTTCATGAGAAAGTTAAAGAGGGAGGGAGTTGTGTGTGGGTGCTTTTATTGGAGAGTAATTTGAAGAGAAGGCATGTAAATAAAAAGAGGAATAAACAAATAAAAGTGTGGTGAATAGAGGCACAAATACGAAATCGTAAAAAATAGAAATAGTATTTTATTAGAAAGTGATGTGAATATTTAGCAATGTACTGTTGTTTTGAAGATCTTTTACTTCATAGAACTCTATTGTTTAGCTATTGATATAATTTGTACTTTAAATTGATGAAAATTAATTTATGCTCATAAATCATGTTTCTGTACTGTTTATTTAATTAATTTATTTATATTTAATCTTGGAATCTCTCACAGTCTGACCTTTGACCTTTTCCGGTATAATATTTGGGTCAGTTTACTTAAAAAATGATATTTATAGATCCATTGCACCATGATATTATCTGTAAAAGTTCGATCATGAGTTTGTACCTTCTAATATGAAAGAATTCTTTTTTCAGGGGCTACGTCTTTGCTGTTAGTGTTCACAGAGTTCAACTTCTTCTCCAAGTCCTTAGTGTAAAAAGGTTTCATCATTCTCAACAACAGCAACAAAATGCAGCTGCTGTCCAAGAGGAATTAACTCAGTCTGAAATCAGCGAGATATGCGACTATTTTAGTCGTCGGGTTGCATCAGAGCCTTATGATGCATCTCGTGTTGCTTCCTTTATTACACTTTTGACTCTACCAATTTCAGTTTTAAGAGAATTTTTGAAACTTATTGCATGGAAGAAAGGATTGGTTCAAGCTCAAGGTGGTGATACAGTTCCAGCACAGAAATCCCGCATTGAAATTTGTCTTGAGAATCATGTTGGATTTAATGTGGATGGGAACTCTGAAAATTCATCTGCGTCCAAAAGCAATATTCAGTATGATCGGGCACATAACTCTGTCGATTTTGCATTGACAGTTGTTCTTGATCCTGCACACATACCACACATAAATGCTGCTGGTGGTGCTGCTTGGTTACCGTATTGTGTGTCTGTTAGATTGAGATACTCATTTGGTGAAAATCCTAATGTATCATTTGTTGGAATGGAGGGGAGCCATGGTGGCCGTGCATGCTGGACACAAACTGATGACTGGGAGAAATGTAAACAGAGGGTATCCCGAACTGTTGAAGTGAATGGATCTTCTGGTGGGGATGCTAATCAGGGAAGGTTGAGGGTTGTTGCTGATAGTGTACAAAGAACACTGCATGTATGTCTTCAAGGGCTAAGAGATGGCATTGGGATGACATCGTGACTGACGGAAAAATGACAACACATTGCTGCTTAGTATTACTGTCTCAACCTACAAAGATGGTCATTACTGTCTCAACCAAAGTAGCGAGCTTCTTTTCTCGTGAACCAACAATTACATCATGCTGCTTGCTTTTTGCAGGATTTCCGGAAGTGAAAATCCTAGATTTGAGAATGTTGACTGAAGAAGTGCCTAGGATCTATAGTGTGTTTGGTGCATTTGTGCTGGGGGGCTAACCCCGATTTAGGGTCAGGCTGTGGTTTACTGTTTGTACAGTTCACTAAAAAAATTGTTTCATTCTATATTCTTGTACTATTTGAACTGGCAAGTTAACTGGTTCAAATCCTTGTTCAGATAGTAACAAAGTAGAAGAGTATTTTTGTTTTCATTCTATTCTAGAAGGGGAACAAGATTCAAATAGTTGAATTGAGTCTGATAATTTTGCTGCCAATTTTTGTAATTAGTGCCAGGTGATATATGGTTCTTTTGGGTAGATATGGAATTTGGTGAACTCATAATCTAGGAATATGGATACTTATGACTGAATGGTAATGGGAAGCAATGCTGCATTATAAATTGTTCTTTAATTAACACAACTGGACATCATTTGACAGTAGTTTCCTAAGATTTCTCCAATTATTCTGTATACATTCTAGACTGGAATATATTGCATGCTCCCAATCTATCTCCATCTGTGTAAATAATTTGATACTTCAAATTGTATTCATTTCTGTTTTTCGTGCAACTTGATAAAATATAAATGCGCATTTCGTGGCACTGTAATAGAACCATCAATATACTATGATAATAGTGTGTGCATAGGAAAATGTCGCAAGGAAATTCTGAAGAGAAGAAATTGCCTATTTCTAACATTCCAGTTGAACATGACCCAAGATGAATGCTCGACTCTTTTATCAGTCTGATGCAATAGGACAAATTTAATCCATGACACTAATAGGATACAAATTAATATGTAACCAGAACGAATGTTACACACAAGAAGCTATAGCAAGGCAGCATAATACTGTCTACAAGTTTAAGAATTCTCCATGCTCGACACTTTGGCCTCTTGCTTCTCTTCTTCACTCGCTGTTGTGATATTTTCAGCAGGTGACTCCATGGGAGAATCGTTATCCTTCTTCAGTTCTGTTTCAAATTCTTTTGCTGCCTGCAATTGGAAAATGTCAATACTACGCATGCTTAATTCTGTTTTTAGTATGTGATGCCCATACATAAATAAATGAAGAAAGGAAAGGGAAAAGAAGGAGAAACCCAAATAGTATTTTGTTTCCTATATTCTCTCTAAAATAGAACATAAAGAGAAGAGGTGAGAAGTTTGACAAACTTGAGGAGATGTTTTAAGGTACAAATTGCTAAGGTTTCATGAGTAGTTATGATTTAGGAAGCACTCGAGAAAACATGTAAATGTAGGAGGCATACACCAATCAATTAACCATGATGTGCAGAGAGTTCAAATTTAATGCAACAAACAGAAGCGTACCCAAAAAAAAAAGAAAAAAAGAAAGCTGACTCAAGCCATGTTATCCTATCTATTCTCTCTGTTTGTAATATCTCATCCACTATAATGCATCCCTTGGTCAATGATCATTTTGCTTGTGAAAACAATGTAAAGGAACATAAGAGGTAGGCAGGCAGGCAGCATAGGAGGATATATACAAATTTGTAAAATTGCTAGTTACATATATCCAACTTTATGGCTCAATTTGAACCGTGCATAGCGCATGTTGACTTAAGGGTAGATATATTTTTGAGAAACGTGTAAACTAAATTTGCATGCTAAACAAGTATAATCTTAAATGAAAGACCAGTCTTCCTCTCAATTTAAAATTATGCTATAACAAAGGAATATTGGGTTAGAGAATCATGACCACTTCGTCATAGCATAAACAAGTCTTCCACGGTAAGCCAGTAGAGTACAGACTACAGATGCATGTGCTTAACCATAGTTAGGACCTAGATAAATGGTTATGAGAAAGTCTTGATGTGGAAAACCAAATAATTCACGGGAGTGTAGAATTTTATCATGAGAAGCTCTTATATTCTACTGGTGGAAGGATGCTCCGAACATGCATCGTATTCATTGGATGACCCATTATTAAGTCTTGTGAGATGATTTAAAGATGGGACCCCAATCTGGATAAAAAAATTTGTCAACAAGGAATTTTCTCTCATTAAAGGGAATATGAGATTTGAAATAGTGGGAAATCCTACTTGAATTTAAAGATCCAATCATCTTGCTCAATGAATGATAAAAACTAAAGATTCTTGTTAACATATTCACCTCAATATGAATAACGAATCTTCACGTTTCTCCATGGTATCTTTCTACTTCATATTCACCTCAATATGATTGACGAACATTAACTTCTTACTCGTCTCAAAGGAGAATGTAATTAAATCGAAGTGGACTCTCCAAGTGACACTTGAATTAATAGGGTATTGTTGACATACAAAAAGTGTACCCCAAATTGAATAGTCCAAAGGATGAAGCCCAATTAGGAAATCCAGAATGAAGAATCAAATAGGACCATTAATGAACGCAGTGGAGGCCCACGAACAAGATACCATCGTCACCCAAGCTTGCAAAGACGCCTAGGATCTAGGGCTGTCCGTGGGTCAGTTC